AACGGAAGATATCAAGGAAACAGGAAAGAAAGGACTGGGAGAAAGGTGGAATAGAGCAAGGCTTATCATTGTCATCTGATACTGGAACATTGGAGGTTTTTCAGACATTCGTAGGGAACAAGGCAGCCAAAACCATCAGGGATACAGGGAGCACTATTATTGGAGTGACTAAGAAATTAGTGGAAGACCATGAATATACAGGCGAATCTAGGAAGTGTGTTATGTTTAATGGGAATATTGTACAATTACAGATTGCTTAAGTTAGTATAGACACACCGTATTTTAAGGGGACAGTAAAAGCTTGTGTTGTAGATCAGGGTGAGATAGATTTAATTATTGGGAGCATTCATGGGGTGAAAATATGTTCAGTAAGGGAGATTGAGAATTGGAAGAAATATTATGGGATAAAGTCTACTCGATGTAGAAATGGGGATGTGGAAGAAGACATAAGATCCCATACATCAGACGACATGGGTTGCAGAGAGTACGAGAAGAAAAAATTAACAGATAAGGTAGAAAGCAATGCAATTGGAATGGGTCCAAAGTAAAGTAAGGCAATCAGTGGTACAGGGAACGCGATTTAAACCCACATACAGACGTACAAGTCCATACATCTTATGCTTTAATTGTGGGAGAAGGGGGCATACTAGAAAACAGTGTCAACGGTTAATCAGAGTTAAGGAATTAAGGTACAATAGTGGAGAGGCGTATACGAGAAAAGTGAGGGATATTAGCAGTCTATAAAACAGTACAGCTAGATCATTCGGTAGTGGGATCACAATGGGACATCATTGCAAAGGAGGGAAGCGGAAAGGATGGCATGTCAATGATGTTAGAATTATATAGATATTATTGGAACAGTGGGAATGATGGGTACTAATTATTGTTCTATTCTACAATGAATAAATATATGTGTAATGAATTGGATATTGTTGTTACGTATGCATGTAGGTTAAGGATCCTACATTATAGAAGTTTAGTAAAGGCTATATAGGGAATGTAAAAGAATATAAGTAGTGGAAAGTAGATAAGTAGATTTTGCACAATGTATTTAATTTTGTGTGGTTCTGTTTGATTATAATTATTCTATTAAAATTACATTTGTAAGAAAATTATCGAAATTGTGTGGTAGAAATACATAAAAAGAAACGTCAAGACTGGAATTATTATATAGGCCTGATGATACTAAGACGTAAATAGCATTGGGTTAAATATATGGTATTAGGAGTGTTGTGAGTTAGTTATATGCCGGGTAATGTTGTTGGGGGTACAATATGCATGGAGCAAGATAGACTTAGTTTGTTAACTATTTGATTGCGGCTGGAATGAGGGTGTTTTGTACAGGCATAAAATTATGAGTGGGGAGTTGTATTAATGAAATGTGATACAATTCTATTTAGCAAATCATCAATAGAAATATGATTACTTATAGATATATGTTAACAGAAGTTGTTGCAATTGCTCATAATAACAGTTATTATTGTGATAAATATAATTGTCATTTGGTGTTCGAATTGTAGTGGTATTAACATGACATTGTGTATGATTTTGTTTGGTTATTACATTATGGTTTAATATGTTACAGATTTTTTTTAAAACTTGGAATAGTCTGATAATTTATTCAGTGATTTGTATTTTGGACGTTCGATGTACATCGAACTTGTTAAACGGGGGGGGGGGGGGGGGGGGGTTACGTGCGCATCTTAGTGTAAATGTGAAATGGTGCGATTGCGTGTTGAAAGGGGACGAGAACCAAAATGGAGGAATATGAACAAGAAAGTGTTTTGAGTGTTAATAAACATTAAAGTATTTATAAACTTTGATTTGTCGTTTTCATGTCTAAAGAGTCTCATCCAATATGAAGACGTAACAGCCATTTTATTTTTAAAAAATCGGGAGGTGTTTACCCAGTTCTTACCTTTTTAAAGATAGTCATAATTGTGGATCACTATAGATGGCATTTATTTGACCTGCGCATTTAGTTTAATATTTACATAGTGATTTAGATTATCGGAATTTAAATATGAGTTTGTATTAGTATACATAATTTAAAAACATTTAGAGAATAATATGACATATAATATATAATTTATGATTACCAGACGTCCAGCAAAAAGAGGACAAATCATAATATCAAATAATATCATATAATATCATATAGGCCTATATAATATTAATATAACAAAAAAGAATTAAAGAATAGTGGAAAATAAAACCTTGTAAGGAAAATCAGGGTAGTGTGACTTCAATTAAATTAAAGAGGTAAAGGATCAAAAAGTGACAATGTGTTGTCTTTAGCTTTATTAAAATAAAATTAATGTAAAGGATAAGGAGTTCAAGTATTATATAAGACTAATAAATATATGCTTTATATAGGCTTTGTTCCGACATTTTTACCGTGTTCCGCAATTGTGACTTCTTAAAAATCCTGTTCCGTAATTGTGACTGACCATATCTCACATGTTCTTAGCTGGAAGACTGTATATATTGCTCTTTGCGAAAGTTAACCTATCCAGTTTGTTAGGCATGGTTATATCTTTGTACATGGCTCTGCCTGTGTTTCCTGATGCCCATTGCTTGAGACACTCCTCTTCGTGATTGTTGACTAACATTGACCTTAGGATGAGGTAGTTAACAGGTCTCTCTGGTTGTTCCATAGATGATCCTGTCTTTGATAGTTTATCGGCCTTTTTATTTATCATGATGCCAATGTGTCCAGGGATCCACTATAGTGTGATATTGATATTTAATTTTGACATCATCTGATGGATTATCACAATTAGTGTTGTCAACTCTCTTGGGCTGTTTGAAGTGCTGCTGTTAAGTGCTTGCGGAGTGGATTGGGAGTCTGTAAAGACAACAATATCTGATGGTGACTGTACTCCTTCATATAATTTGTCTTCGACTGTTTGCAATGGTATGGTAATTACCTCAATTTCGGCTTGGAAGTTTGAGCAGTAATCACCACAGGGTGCACTTATTTCAAAGTGTTTATTTTTGGGGAAGACCAGGAAGGCACCAAGATCAGCATTGGTGGTGGCTTTGAAGGCCGATCCGTCGCTATCTAGGTCTATATGGAAAGCAGTTTTTTTTTGGATAGCTTTCAATTGTTTCGAGCGTTACTACTCTGAGCTCCAGTGGATTTTATTCTTTTGTTAGGGTATTATTTAACAAATGTGTTTTAATGGTTTTGTTGTTTATAGTTAAGTCCAGGAGTTATGTTTGAGAATCTGGTAATTTTTTCTCTGTTATTGGGTAGATGGTTTATTAGGGCTAGTTCGTCAGTAAGTTGGATTAGAGTTCTTTGTTTTTTTGTTTTGCTTGTTTTTCCTATTTCTCTGTGTTAGTAGTTTACTAGGATGGTCGTCCTCCAACCTTCTGTATCTCTCAATAGCTTCTAATGTCTTCTGTTCTACTTGCTTTCCCGAACAGGTTGTGCATGGTGGAGTGAGCAAGTACTTCTATAGCCACCAATAAAGTCGTTTATTAATATTTTTTCCTGCCATTTTGCCAATGATGGATGTTAAGAGATATTCAGGGGCAGACTGGCTACGTGGGTATTCGGGCAAATGCCCGGTGGGCCGATACCTGAGGGGCCACCGAAAGGGCCGCATGAATGCCAGTAAATTTTTAAAAAGATTTTATAATATTCTCTTTAAATGCAACACCCTTAGCGTCATGATTAAAAAAAATCTTTTACACTTTAAAATCTAATACTTATCTAAAGCATTGTCGTGAATACCCTACATTCGTAGGAGATATAGGGCTTGTAGTAGACGTCAACCTTATACACACTAAGCGATAAACAAGAAACCTAAGACCATTATAGGTTGGTATAAATATATTTGGATGAATCTTTAAAGAAACAAACAACGTTCCAGGTCCTATAGATGACATGTCCAGTCACATACAAATTGTTATTGGTTTGGTTGAGTTCTCGCATTATCTAAAGTAGCCTCTACGAAGTCACAAATCATAATTATTATCTTGAACAGTGTAGAAATGTGTTAATTGGAATCAAAATGCAACAGAATCGAGCTCAGCCCCGATCCCAAAGCTTGCAATAAGAAAAAGGGTGTCTTTGTGTGTTCCACTAACTTCAGAAAGAACCATTGCTAGGGTAAAAAAAAAACGTCCGAAAGAATGGAGGGACTGAATATATAATGATATGTGTGTGTGGGATAACAAAAAATCCCCCAACCCCCCCTTAAAAAATACTGTCGACGCCCATGGTAGATTTTTATTATAGTATATCTAAATCTAATTATTCTTTCGCCTTTTCCCACCCTCTTAGACCTATAGTATATCCGAGGAATTTTCTATACTGCTATAAACTGCTCTTACAGTTCCCGCCAATTCTTGAAGGTAATATAAACATTTACTCATTTACATTGTTTACATCTAGACCTCTCTTGGTCTAGATCTAGATTCTATATCTAGATAGGTATCTAGATCTATAATTGTAATTACTAGATCTAGGTCTACATTTTAGGACATCTAGATTCTATCTAGATATCTAAACCTAGTTTTAAGTTTAGACTAGTCACTAGACTTTAATTTTAATACAATGATATGATTTTATTTTAATGATAGAGCGAGGAGATCTACTTTAAATTTAATTTTAATCACTTCAGACCAGAATTTAGAGAATTTTAATTTATTATTTAGTCCAATCAAGTGATTTATTGAAGTTCTATATTATTAAGTTATAAATTAACTTTAGATGTTAGATATGAAGTAGTCAGGAGTAGCTCTAGACCTAGACACCTAGAATCTAATAGTAATACGGTAATAGATCTTTTTTTTAAAAATTATATTTATAAATATTTAAAAATAGATCTAGTATTAGTACTGTAGTAGTAGTATTAAATTAATTTATTAAGTAGTATTACTAGAGGCGTAGCCATAGCATAGGCATAGGACATAATCTTCTTCTTTTTTGATGTAATGTCTGTATTATCATATAAATATAAGATATTTAAGGTCTAGAGATTAGGCTTAGCTATTAAAGTATTACTAATTAAAAGATTCTAGATCCATCACTATAGATTGTAGTCATAGTCATGTCAATGTCTAATCTATTCTCTAGATTCTATCAGTATATCTAGTAGAGATATTTGAAGCATTATATATTGTGTCCCAAAGCCCAAAGAAAAGAGTTAGTTACAAATCAGAGTTTACAACATTGCTCCCTCCTATTTCGGTGTCCTATATTAGTATTCGTCCTCGAACACTATCTGGAGTGGTGTAGGTTTATCATTTCAGGTGGAGGTCAATCAGTGGGGATGACAGATGACGGGGCACTAATTGTGTATATTTAATATATGGTCATATAAATGGTAAATAACTAATAATTTAATTATAATATTATTGTACTAGTCAAATCAGGTCCAGTGTGGTTTAACTTTAGTTTTTAAAATTAAATTTTTCAGGTAGATTCCTGGTAGAGATCTACTATATTATCGAGAGAGACATTCTAGAACCAGAATATAGATCTAGATATATCTATTATTTCTATTCTTAGCATCTATATCGACTATAAGCTACTATAGTAGATCCGATGTATATAATTTTTCTTTAAGAGCTGAGGCCCATGTTTTTTCACTTTCCATAGCTTTCTTGGTCACTGTCTCTCTCCAACTAGTGCGGTTTAGTGCTTTGTCTTCCCAGTGGACAGTATCAATGTTCACTATTTTTAAACCTCGTTTTATTACATCCATGTAACGGAGGTGGGGGCGACCAGTTTTTCTTGAACCAGACGCAAGTTGCCTTGTATAGAATGATTTTTTGGGATGCATATGTCCTCCATCTGTCAAACATGTCTGGGTCAACACAGACAGCCGTATCTGAGGACTGTAAAGATGCTGGGAAGACCCGTTTGCGTGAAGATCTCAGTGTTGCACGTGACTACTCTCTCTTGCCATGTGATTTTCAAGATCCTTCGGAGGCAGCGCAAGTGGAATGAGTTTAGTTTTCTCTCTTGCTGTGTGTAGGTTGCCCACGACTCACTGCAGTACAGTATTGGGCTCAGAATGCATGCCTTGTAGACCTCCTTAATATTTTAGTTTGTCTAAAGTTGAAAGCACATTTTTCCCTAGCTAGTTGTTATAGTTTAATAATAAAATTTTATTATTAGTTTCATTTTACATTTCAGCATTAAAATTAATACTTACATGATGTACATAGAAATACACAAAATAGTTTTGTAATTAATTTATAATTATTTCTAAAGCTAATTAAAGATGAAAATTTTAAGCCTTATATTCAAACACTCAATGTACAAAACAGGGAATTATTATCAACTTAGAAAACATAATCTAAACATGCATAGCATACATAACAAAGACAAAGCTGTTGCAACAGTGTCTTTGAATAAAATCATTTTTTTTTTTCAGTAGCTTTATCTTGTAACCTCTCCACCATGGTACTACAGAATACTGGCAAATTTCAGGCTGAAAAAGATGCTAATGAACTTGGAAGGTAATTCTTTGATATCTTACTTATAATAAATTAGCATTAAAAAAATATTCAACTACTTTATTTGTAATAACTTTTTTCCTTTTCAGTTCACGTGAAGATTCAACAGAAAAACGCTTAAAGCGAGCCATTCTTAATGATGAAATTGATACACGATTTGGTTATGAGCGCTACAAAGACACAACTGAAAAGACGGGATGGTTAATTAATATGCACCCTGTATGTTTTTTTTTATAATTTTTTTTATTCACAAGATAAGATAATAATGAACTTTAAAAAAAATCTTGACACATTTTAAATTTAATTTATAGGGCAGTGTTTATCATTTAAATTTTGCAAAAAATATATAAAGTAGCGCAGAATTGTATTTGTTTAAATATTGAATGTATGAATTTTATTTAGTGACATTCTATTTTTTTTAATTCCTTAGAAATTTAGTTACTCATTAGAAAAGAGTTGTTTTTTTTTAAGTTGAGCGAGTTTGATTTAATTTACTTTAAAAAAAAAAAAGACTTTTTAAAAAATGTAATATATATCTTTTTTTTAAGCAAAAGGTTCTTTTTTTTTTAAACATGATTTAGGGGAATATTACATTTTATTTTTCACGGAAAAGAAGATGGGGTGATAGGGACATGAGTTAACCACAAAAAATGAACAGTAAACAAGTTTCGTTTCTTTTTTTTTTTTTCCCCAATGTTTGACTACCTATGAATGTGGGTTCAAGGTTTGACACCCGACTCGAACAGAGTTGTGTTAACTGAGTGTCTTAAGGCAGCATGGAAAACCTTCTCCACCCACTGGTCCACAAATGAGATTGGACCATATCACTCTGAGCATGCTATAAGCATGAAAGTAGCACTATAGGCTATGTAAAAGCTATAATAAAAAAAAAAAACTTGAATGATATTGTTGCATTGTGAAATTTATTGATTGTTGGACAATAATACTTTGAGATGTGGATTTCTCACTGATGGATATGGTTGACCTACTTTTTAAATCTGTTTTCTGCCTGAATGTGAAATTAAAATTGTTAATTTTATATTTCAAGTATTTATTACTGAATTTTTTAAAATTTGAGCAATAATTTTTATCTAGACAGACATTCTTGATGCAGACAAAAGACTTGTAAGTGCTGTAGATTATTACTTTTTACAGGAAGATGGTGGGAGATTTAAGGTAAATCAATTATAAAACATTCAAATTCTTTTGATTTGTATTATGCATCATCATCATTCCATTCTTTAATTCTTTAACATTGTACAGCCAGCTTTTCTTTGGACGACTTTTTCTTTGTGCTTTCTCCAAAGTTCCTTGAAGAAGACTGTGAGTTATGTCTTACAATATGACAGCACCATCTCAATTTTCATCTCTTCTCAATATTGAGGAGTTTCTCCTTTTTGTTGACTTGTACAAGGACATACTCATTTGTCTTCTTTTCCTGGTATATGATATCCATCAATTCTGTAAAATTTACTTTCAAAGGCGTTCAGTCTCGACATTCAGGATCCAACTTTCACAACTATATAGGACTAAAGAAATCACTACAGATGAAAACAGTTTTAATTTTACTGTGAAGCTGATGTTCCAGATTTTTCACAGTTTGCTCATCGCAGTGGATGCCGAGCTTAAATGGGTTTTCATCTCTTTTATTATTCTTCCATCTCGTTTTATGTTTTATCCTAGGTATTTGAATGAGTCCATTGTAAACCGTTCCGCTTCTGGTCTGTTGCTGTCTTCATGACCCAATCTACGGCTAGTAGAAACAAGAAGGAAGAGCTTTCTCTCACTCCTGATTGGACTTGGTTTACAATGGACACTGAAAACAGCTAGATGACCTTGACTTTGCAGATGACTTGGCTCTTCTTTCTCACACACAACAGCAGATGCAGGAAAAAAAAAGCGTTGTTGCTGACAATTCATCTAGAATGGGTCTTACCATAAACAGAGGGAAGAGCAAGGTGTTCAAGATAAAGACATCCAACAAGACACCCATTACAGTCCAAGGTGAGGTGCTGGAAGAGGTGGAAACTTCACTTATCTCTGCAGTTTCCTAGACCACCATGGAGAACAGATGCAGATGTCAGAACTCGCATTGATAAAGCTCGAGCAGCCTTCCATCAGCTGAAGAACACATGGGATCTAGGGTAATAAGCACCACCACCAAGATCAGGCTCTTTAACACTATTGTTAAACCAATACTACTATATGGAGCAGAAACCTGGAGAACCACCATCACCACCATGAAAAAAATCCAGGTATTCATCAATACCTGCCTGAGGAGGATACTTATGATCCGCTGGCCAGACAAGATCTCGATTGAGAAACTGTGGCAAAGAACAAAGCAGCAGACCATTGAAGTAGATATCCTTCAGAGACGCTGGAGATGGATAGGTCAAACCCTTCGCAAGCCTGCATCCAACATAACAAGGCAAACCGTAACCTGGAACCCCCAAGGAAAGAGGAAGAGGGAACGACCCAGGAATACACAGTGCCATGATTTGGAAGCAGATTGGAAAGACATAGGGACAGTTGGAGAGACTCGCCCAGAACGGAGATGCCTGGAGGAAGCTGGTTAGTGGCCTATGCCCCAGAAGGGACCACATGCAGAGATGATGATTTAAATGAGTCAACGCCTTCTAATGTTTGACCATTCAATTCGTATTTTCCTTTTTTTCTGCACTGGGATTTATCTTGAAGTTATACAGATCTTTGCAATATTCTGTCCACTTTCTAAGCACATATGCTTCTTTAGTCAGAAGAGTTCCATTATTTTCAATCACTGGTTCTAGCTTGTCTTGTGTTGGTTAAAGTTTTTAATGTTTTTTTCTTTTTTTTTTTTTTGGTTATTGTCAACTTTCAAGCCACTATCAATTATAGTGTGCTGGTCACTAATCCATTTTTGTTTTGCTGACTTCATTTTCGTGCATATTTATTTACAGTTCAACCTTCATGCATAATGATGCTAGTATAAAGATTTAGAAGTTAAGATTTATAATTGATAATACTTTTTTTATAACTTGCAAAATGATATTGAGTATTTTTAAAAATTGATTTAATAAACACAACAATCTATATTTCATAAAATAAAGGTATATTCTACTTTCTCTGCAAGGCTACTCTCCCATTTCGGCCATATTTTTATATATTAGCAAAAGCTGAATGTGAACGAGAAGTGGCCAGCTTTATTAACAGAAAATATTCTGGAAAGATAGCTGCACTAGAAACTGTTTATAAAGAAGATCTGGATTTAGTAAGTAAACATAGTGTGTAATGTTGTGAATGAATGATTGTTTAAATCTTATAACTATTAACAAAACAAGTTCTTAAAATGAAAAAGGTCAAAATTTAGCTTTTTACAAATTTTCAAATAGCTTATTAAAAACTGTGTGTCACTTATCAATTTGAAATAGTCATGTACCAATTTGAAATAAACCCAAGTCTAGTTTATTTAAGTTATATATCTATGTCTGTAAAGTGAAGGTCAAGCACTGAATTTCCTATGATGTAAGCAGACACCTGTCTACTATTACTCGAATGACACTTGACAGAAAATTATTTGATTGGTTGTAGGAGAAAATTTCTTTGGCTAAAACCAAGTGTCTAAGTAGAGATCAAATGAGACGCGGGAGCTAGAATAAAGAAAAAACTTCAGTCGTGTTGAGATTCTCCTAGAGATAAAACTTATTTGAGTTTTGAGTTAGAATTGGTAGAGATCAGTCTTGTATTTGTTATTTTATTTTGATACAGTTTACTATTGTAAATACTGTACATTGCAGTGATTCCTAGTTTTAAAGTTCTGTATTTGATTTAAAAGGATCTTCACTTATTCAATCTCTAAGTTAGTATTTAGATCTAGAGATATACATCTATAGAATCCCTGGCATGTCACAGTAACTTTTTGTAACATCTGACATCTCAAGAAAGAGTCTACAACTTTAGCACTATCTCAAACAAGAGCACCTATATCAACAAGAAGAACTCGTGACACTGATTATTTTAATTCAACTAATAATGGACAACCTTTATACAACTCCAGATAATTCTTAAGTAAAAAAGAATAAGCTTAAACTATTTAATATTTAACATTGACATGGCTTCAATTATACAGATAAACCAAAAACTACAATTTAAGGCTGAAGATTAATGTGGAATGCAGTATTACATTTGATTATGTAAACCCAACTATGACCATTAAATTTGTTATATTCACATTAAGAGATAAACATTTCGACCTTTCAAGGCTGAGGGGGCTTGAGTTCCAATACCAACTTGAGCAGTTTGTGTTTGCTAAGTGTTTAAAGGTAGCATGGAAACCAGATACCCCTTCCCCCCACTGGTCTACTAACGAAATTGGACCATTGCCCACTAGTCTACTAAAGAGATTGGACTATTGCCTACTAGGCATGCTAGCATGAAAGATGTGCTATTCAAAGCAATTTTTACCAATATGTTTTTTAGTTATTGTTTATATTTAAACAGCGTAATCATCTTGTTGGGTTGAAACAATCATATATCAAGCTGTCTTTTTTTAACACTGATGACCTTGTCAAAGTGAGAAAAGATATTTCTCCTGCTGTCAAAAAAAATAAAGAGAGAGAGAAAAATTTGGATGATTATACAACTATGCTGACCAGGTTTGTTGAGTGTTATCTTTTACACTGGACACTTCTTGTAGCAAAATTTTTTTTTCAAAAGAAAAATATATAATAAATGTGCTTTAATAAATATGTACTACCTACCAATATACTTTTCTAGGATATTAAAAACCCCACAATATTTGTCTTTTGAGTAAAGTATGTATACAGAAAAAATTGGAATGATTATCATCGCAAACTTTTTTTTTTAACAGTAGAACATGTGACCATTTAAATTTTTCCTTTTTACATTCTATAAATAATCTTAAAATAATTTAAAAATGAAATATGGAGAACATGTGACCATTTAAATTTTTCCTTTTTACATTCTATAAATAATCTTAAAATAATTTAAAAATGAAAATTTATAAATTGTTAATACAAATTAGTCTTTAGAACTAAGCTAGTAATTCCTGAAACATTTTTCTTGTGAAGTAAATCATTTGTAGTTCTCGTGACATGTAATAGTATTTTATTCGTTTTCCACTCTCCAGTCATTATGCAGGTGAAGATGCTTTAGGAGTTTCTAAAAAAATATCTGATCAGATGGAAAACATCATTGACATTAGGTTTGCTTGGTTATCTCTTCCATCCATCTTAGTTTCTTTTGTTAATTTTATAAATTAATATTTTTTGTACAATCAAATTGTAGTTTCAATTAGATATATATATGAATATATATGCTAATTTATTATATATTATCTAGAGAGTATGATGTCCCCTACCATGTGCGTGTCTCAATAGACCTTAAGATATTTGTTGGACATTGGTATTCAGTGAAAGGACGTGGATCTCATGAACTGGACATAAGACTTCGGGAGGACTTGGTTTCATGGCCTGTAAGTTCTGCAATTATTGTACATGCTTGCTTTATTCCTAAATGTATAAAATTAACTTAAATACTTTCATGTGTTATCAACAGGATCCTGTAGTGTTAGCCTTTGACATAGAAACAACAAAGTTGCCACTCAAATTTCCTGATGCTCAAACTGACCAGGTTATGATGATCTCATACATGATTGATGGCCAGGTACTCACAGCAATGGATTCTTTGAAATAGATTTAATCACATCAGTATCCAAGAAATTATCTTGAATTTGTTATTTAAGTAATATTTTCCAAAGAAACTTATGTGATCGTTTTAATTAATGCAAGTACAACGAATATTGTATTGTACAGGGATATTTAATTTGCAACAGTGAAATTGTTTCTCAACAAGTTGAAGACTTTGAATATACACCCCGACCAGAATTTGAAGGACCATTTACAGTTTTCAATATGCCCGATGAGGTGGGTCATCTATGTATGATTTTTTTTTCCCATATGTAATAGTGATAATTTTATGTCCATATAGCCTTAATTTGTTTATAATGAGACGTACTTATAAAGTAACATTTCTTTTTTCAATGCTTTTTTAGAAAAGTCTACTCC